CGGCACAGTGCACAGTGAGCCAGCTTGGACTTGCAAAAAGGCGACTTGATGGGTTCAGCGTCAGACTGGGTACCGGTGGTTATCAGGGGGACAAAGCAAGTAAGGTGTGGATGGACCTCAGGGGTCACGCCATGCAGGAGGGCAGCGGAGCCCCAAGACCCAAAAGAAAGCATAAGCCGAGAGGCTGCTTGTGGTCTGCTCTTGGCCTTACCACCCTCACCGCCTGGCTTGCTTTGCTGCACACAGTCACCACAGTACTGCTCAGTGTATTTTATAATCATCTGAAAGCCACTGAGGGCTCCCAGACATAATTGCTTGATCCTATTTTAATTTACTTGCTAAAACTGAGTATAATGATTAAGCTTTGTAACTAAGGAAAATATTGTATGGTAAAATTAATAGTTATGAGTCAGCACTGAAAGTCTAACGGGAAAGCATATTCCCAGGTAGCACACGGAAACACTTCCCTGGTCTACACTTCTGACACGCGGCGAGTGGCTGCTCCCTCATCTCCCTGCTGCAGCGGGGACATAGATGACTCTTACAGGAACAGTACAATCAAAGTTACGGTGAATGTTTAAACTTAAAAATATGTATTATAGTAAAAGGCATATTGCGATCAATCTCCTATCCCACTGTTCTTGGGAACACACTTGTCTTTCATTGCAACTTTGGAAAAAAAAAACCGCAACAGCAATAACCATATTTTTCTGTCCCTCTGGACTCACACTCATCACAGTGGCTCACTGCGGAAGCGTTCATGCTTGGGGAAAGCTGTGCTCTGAGATCAGAGCCCATGCCCTAGGGAACAGGACACACCCGTGCTCTTGGCTGTGTTCCGAAAAGGAAATACTGCAGCCAGCCCTCTGCCTCCTCAAATTCAACCAACCACAGAAATTGAAAATATTTGGGAAAAAAAAACTGCCCCTGACCCGAACTTGTGAGCTTTTATTTGTGATCCCCTACACAGTGCGGTGTAACAGCGGCTTATCCAGCCTTCACATCACACTGGGCAGTGTCAGTCATCTAGAGATGATTTAAAATGCCATGAGAGCAGTACGTGTTTGGTCCGCGGCTCCTACACCATCTTCTATGAGATTGGAGCTCCGCAGAGTTTGGTTATTGTGGATGAGTCCTGGGCTTGGGAGACAACACTGACGGACAAATACATTTATTTCCAGGACATCCTTACAGCTAAAATGAAAGCATCAGTAGTGATCTGACCTGATACAAAGCAAGTTCCTAACGTGTAATTTAAAAGAAAAAGAAGAAAAATTATCCTTTCTTTTCCTTAGTGAATCCAGAAATCCTTCTTTTGAAAAAACAAGGCTCTGTTATTCAAGTGCTAATTCTGGAGGATATTTCTGGTGGTACCTGAGGATACAGAATTGTGATTTGCTTTTGTTTAGTGATTCCAGAGAATATATACTCAAATGCTAAATATAAGGCTGCCTTTGAATTTAAGATTCGAAAGTCGTATTTTATTTTAAGTTTCCAAACTATAGCTATAAAACTAAAGTATTATTTGTCTTGGCATAATAAAAGGCAATAATCTTAACTTGGGAAACTATGAACAAAATGGAGGTGAACGCGTGAGTGATGCTTTCTGAGGGGGGCCGGGGATTTAGCTCAGCGGTTCAGCCTGCCTCTCAAGCGCAAGGACCCGAGTTCAATCCCCGGTACCCCCCACAAAAAAACACACTGAAGGAGGGCAGGGAGCTGTGAAGGTTAACCTGAGACCTCCCCACTGAGAATTCAGGTGCCAGTTACAAATCTGCCTCCTCCTGAAGCTGGCACCGAAGGGGAGGGAACTTAAAGACTCTGGAAAACGTCCAGAATTCCACAGAGAGCAGGGGACAGGGACAAGCTACTAGAAACGAAAATGAACTCTAAGGCTTCCCCTGTGGGTTTTACTGGGGAAATGAGAATTCTGTCTATATGAAGAAGGCTGGGATCCTAACATAAACATGAGGGGTCTTCAGTTATACAGATGCCCAGCAAAGCACACAGAGAGGTCATGCCACGCAGTGTGGCCCACAGTGGGGCATCCCACAGCAGGGGGTTCCCCGTAGGTGCCCGGAAACTGAAAAGGAGGGAAATGGTGACCCCAACGCTGGAGAGCAAAGGGGAAGGTGGGACTTAGACTTCCTGCGATTAAACTGGAGATCTGGGCTCACGTTTCCGCACCTGCAAAGCCTTCACAAAGTGAAGTGGCTGCTTCTTAGATTTCTTACCTCCCTGGTTGGGCTCCCTGAAGACGCAGCATATTCGCCTTCTATGCGCTCTCATCTTTCATTAAAATTGTGTGTAAAACCACGTCTTTGAAAGCTCTGTCAAAGCATACTCTCAGAGGGCCAGGGATTTAGCTCAGCGGTTCTGCCACCTGCTTCACAAGCACAAGGTCCTGAGTTCAGTTCCCCGGTACCCACTCAAAAAAGCATTCTATCAGAAAGTACCCTAAAAAGAAGCCGATTGTCACTTCTGAGCCAGGCCATGAAGACCTCGCACGGAGCCCCTGCGCTCTGTGGCCGGCCAGGTCACGGGATCAGAAGTACAGCTTGCCCCCCGGCTTGGAATACGTGACCCCCAACACTGCTGTTCATCGAAGCCCGCGCACAGCCTGCATTGTGGATACCAGGCGCTGCCTCCAGTCAGGAGAGTGCAGGTTCTTAGGACCCAAGAAGGAAATGTTCGCGGAGCGTCTGCTGTGGACTCTGCAGGTCCTGACCTGTCGCTGAACCAGCCCCCACTCCCTCAGGGACATCCCTGACCACAGAGCTCCTTCTGTCTGCTGAAGCTGCTCTTAACAAAATCGGCCACAAATCTTCCCTGTCCCTGAAGCCAGGATTTCACCCAGGAAGCCCAGTAAAAGTAGCATCTCCCGTGGGTGCCAGCCGCGGCGTCGGTGTGGATCTAAGCCTCTCCTGCCCTGGGGCGTCACACTCTGCTCTCCCTTCTTGGCGATGTCTTCCTTGGCTTCCGGGATGCCGAGCGTGAGCCTCTCCCCGCCAGTCTGGGGCCTGACCAGTGGCCCGGTTCTTGCTCCTCCTGAACCACCGGGCTGGCTCCCACCTCCTCGGCCGCCCCTCTCCGGATTTCCAGGTCTGACTCGCTGTGGCACCCCTGCCTCCGTGGCCGCCCTCCCGCGCATTCATCTTCCACGCGGACCCCACAGGCGCCCTGCCTTTCTCGTTGCCGCAGCTTCGCTTAGAGTCTCCCGTGGATTTCCACACCTCCTGCCCCTACCTCCGGCTGTTCCCATCCGTCCTCCTTGCAACTCCAGACCCCCTTTCTGCACCGCAGCCTGTGGGTGACTTCCCCTGGCAGAGTAGCTCACAACCTTCCAAACCCACGGTCGTTCGCACTCATTTCCTACCGGGCACCAAAAAGCACCACACGAGTTCCCGCTCCCTGGTGCGCTGTACGCATGGGGGCGGGCGCTCTGTGCCACCAGCCGCCCTTCAGCCTCCCAGCCTCTTGGGGAATTCCTGCTCCCCCTGCGAGAGCCCGCTCCATCACTCCTGGCACACAGTCCCGGTTTGTTGGGTGAATGCATGAATGAGGTCTTGCCCTGCTCTCATGCAAAGCGAGACTCTCCCTGGTGTCGGCGTTTCACCAAGTCACCCTTATACCCGAGCAGGCCAGGCCCTGCCTGGCGGGGCTTCTGTGCCGCCCCAGCCCTCTTCCCCTTTCTGTGCCCACCTCCGCGGGTCCCCTAATGCTGTCGCTGAGCTTTTCCCTTGATGGGCACAGGACGCTGCCCAAAATTATCACGCAATGGCTGAACAGACTATATGTGGATTTTCTTAAGAATAACACCTTGGTGGTTTCATCTTAATGTTAGCTACGTGCTGTTTCGTGTTCCAGATCCGTCCAGGAGAATATATGCATGGCGAGAGATCAGCGAGGCAGTTTGCGAAGTCTGTTGTTTTTGTAGAGTCCTTTACATATAGTTAACCAGACAATTGCTTGTGCCTCCCAGAACTTGCAGAATTCAGCCTGTGCTTTGCCTTAAACCTAACACACTGTGGGACATCTTGCTGCACCTGCAATCCCAGCACTTGGGAGGCTGGGGCGGGGGGCGGTGGTCACTGTGATCCTGAACCCAGCCTGAGCTACATAGCAAGAACCTGTCTCAAAAAACAAACCAAAACACACACACACACACACACACACACACACACACACACACACACAGCATGTTATGCCTTATAGCTTTGCGGTTGATTTTTCTTGCACATTTTCAAGAAGTGGTTGGGAAAAGCAGTGAAAAGAAAAAAGTTTGTAACCTTATATTCATTTTCATAATATCTCTTTGGCAACTGCAAAAGAAAATTGGCAATTCTAGTTAATTTCAAAAGTAGTAAAAAAAAAAAAAGCACATCGTGAGCCTTTTCCCATACTGAAGGAAACAATATCAAATAATACTCTTAGTAAAGGTCTTTGTCTTTGAAACATGCGTCGGTGGCTCTCAGAAAGAGGCGTCAGGACAATCAAGACAATGGAAACACCCTTACCAGAGTCAGGCCGAAAGCTGCCAGATGATTTCCATTACCAAGCAGACCAGGTTTCGCTCGCCTTCCCATTAAACGCTTCTTTTATTCCGATCACGTTTGGGAATTTAAAAACAGGACATTGGGTAATACAGATGAAGAAAGCGAGGAAGTTCATGTTTGGTTCCCAGTCCCTTTAAGAGACATAAGATAGGTACCTGGTTGTCGAAAGCTCAAACCAGAGAGTTCTTGTGTGCCAGACCCGAGATGGGCAGTGTGGTGAAGAGAATGAGAAAACAGAAGAAAAAAGAGTCGGGGCCTGTGAAAGCCTGCAGCGTTCTCTAAAAGAACGGTCTCTCTGAGCCTGCGCACGTCTGTAGCGCCTGCCCTGTTGCGGCGTCTTTTACTTTTTAATGAAAACTATTGGAGTGGTTTTCTCCCTCTCACCCTCTCGTGTGTTTTCTCTCCTGTTATGTCACCACCTGTCCTACCTGGGAAATCCTTCAGGCTAACTGTCAGGTAGGTTCTCCCCGACGTCCCTGTGATTATTAAGGGGCCCCATGGAGGAGAATGAAGTAAACAGGCCGCTGGGGTGTGGGGCTGAGTGATGGCACAGGAAAGGCACATCCTAAGCTATGGAGAGACTGTTTGCAGATGCATGGACCTGAAGAAGCTGCACCCTGAGCCCAGGTGAGCATCTGTTGTGAGAACCTAGCCTCAGGGAAGACCGCAGCTCCAGGGGTAAAGTAGGTTACCTGGACAGCCCAGCATTTTTGCGGTAGCTTAAAATACAGACTGCTCCTACTGGCCTCTCTGTGACAGAGCAGTATTATACCCTGTGTGCTCACGTGTGAGCCTGCTACAAATACAGTATCGGCTTATGGCTTTGGCCAGGTTTAAGAAAAATTCACAGCGATGGACTTTAAAATCTCTGTTGTAGCCGGGCATGGTGGAGCATGCCTGTAATCCCAGCACTCAGGAGGCTGAGTCAGGAGGATCACCATGCGTTCTAGGCTGCATAGTTGAGAGCCTGTCTCAAAAATTTGAAAAACAAAAACTTTTTAAAAAATCATCATTTTTAGGTACATATCTAAGCAGTCTCTGTGCCTTGAAGAATAAAGGTGACTTGAAAAAAAAGGGAGGTAGTGGTCGTATAGAATTTGTTAATGCTGAATGCACCCCTGGAGTTGTCCAAGGCAGGGAGACTCACCTCATTCTCTCAGCAGCAGTGGGGTTTGGGAGTTCAGGAAGCTGCAGGGCCAGCACTTCTCAGACCCTCATGTGCAAGACACTTTACAAAGCCCAAGAGAAGACAGACAAGTTAGAATGTGCTTGAGGTGTGTTTGTGTATGTGTACGTATGTTGTGTTTAACTTGAACTCGTTTTTGTCTTTCATGAGGAAAAATGTGTTTCAGTCGCCACGCAGCATACCCTGCTCTAACAGCTTTCTTATTTTAATTTCAGAAGTCTACAGAGCAAATGAAGAAGGTCCCTACTATTATTCTTTCCGTCTCATATAAAGGAGTCAAATTTATTGATGCGACAAATAAGGTAGGTAGCACACCGCTCTCTGGTTTAAATACCGGTGCCTGTGATCTAAAATCCCAGCATTTGACGTTTGGATCACTCCGCACCCCCACCTTCATGCTTGGTGCTCGGAACTGTAAATGCTCGTGTGCACATGAGCGCGCGCACAGAGGAAGGTGAGTTCAGCAGAAGCCTGGATCTGAGGTGGCTTCTCTCACAGACTGTGGCCTCTCACCCGACAGGTTCCTTTGAATCTAGAGAACGTTGAAAGTGGGGCGGCCGGGGATTTAGCTCAGTGGTTCCAGCGCCTGCCTTGCAAGCGCAAGGACCTGAGTTCAACGCCAGCCCCAAAAGGAAAGGAGGGGGAAAATAGTTGTAGAAAAACAAAAAGACAATAATGCCATCACTTCCCTGTGAGAGGAAATGTTACTAGAGGAAGAGCTGGGGTGGTGCTTCCATTTCTCTGGAGATATATATGTCCTTTCCTCTGTACACGAAATGAGTGCCTGACACCAGGAACACCCCCCGACTTGTGTTCCGTCAACTGCATTTCATTCCCAGCTGCTGAGATGGAAGAGACTTTCAGCTGCACGTTTTCTTGAGAGATACGATCAGAAAAGAAGCTCGGGCCAAGATGGGTCTTTGTACTTAGAGAGAGCACAGTCTGCAGGTCAAGTGTGGACTACTGGGTTGCGTTTTACCTGAAAAGTGACCCAGAGGCTTTTTCTGGGCAAAGATCACGGATTCCTACTGCGGAGCTAGAAAGCTCAGGTGGGAGCGCTCTCCCTAAAGGTCCCAGGTTTCACTCCCTCCTCCTCCCAACTCATAAAGTACAAAAGGCTAGAAATGAGGTGCTCACCGAGGTGAATGGTGACTGCCTGGTTTTAGAGAGAAGAGTGTAAAGTCATCAAGCAAGTGAATGTCAGCAGTGGGAACCTGGGGCAAAGCAGCTGGATTTAGGTATCAGGGAAAAGTTCGGTGGGCATTGGCTTCTTGGTGTCTATAATGAACCTGAGGGTCTGCGTCAAACGGTTAGAAGCTTTTCCGATTGGTTTCCTATAAGGAGATTATTGCTTTCAGCAGTCAGTTGAGCCCAAGCTCCCCAAATCTACTTCACGAATCTACTTCCAGTTCTAGGGGAGAAAAAAAAAAAACAAAACAATAAAACCCTGAAACCCAGGCAGATGAAACTCATGATGAAGGCGCATTCTCACGCAGGCTGACAACAGCTGAGCCATCTTTAGAGCAAAGTGCGTCGTGTTGTTACTGCTGACAGATTACACTTGTGGGGCCTTGAATCAGAACAGCCCAGTCGATTTGTTGTTTTTTTTCCCCTTGGAGGAGACAACTGCAGTTCCTGGTACATAAAATTAGCTCAGCCCTAAATTATAGTCGGATGTTTAAAAAATTGCAGAACTCTGGAATGCCTACTGAACGTCCCGCTGTGTCCTGCTATGTCTACATGTGAAAGAAGCCCTTAGCACTGGGTGTTTTTCCCCTAACGTGGAGCAAATGCCTGTGCACCATTTGCATTTGGCAAACTTGAAGAGCAATGCATTTTCAGTGGATGTGTTTGACACTCGATTATCCACTTGGGTCCTGGCAGTCGCTGAGCGAGGGGTGTTTGCCCTGGGAAGTTCCGCAGTCCTAACGCTGTCATCCCGCTGCCTCTGTAGTATGAGCGCCCTCCTGACCCACTCTCCACCATCAGAGCCAGCAGGGAGAGCCCTGGCAGGTCCGTTGCCTTTTGCTCGCCGACACTTTGAGACATGTAGAAGTTGATGCTCCTGTACCTCAGAGGGACGTTTCTGAGTCAATCACCAGCAATTAGATGAGTGATCCACAGACCTCTGCTCACCAGTGACCCCCCTTTGGATGGATCAGCAGAGAAAGATATGCACAGATGACTTTGTGTAAATAAGGACACTAAACACAGAAGGGAGGGCACATCTTTCCGTTCCTTGCAGCGTGGTCCTCTGTGTAGCTTTTGGAATCTCCAGCACTGGCAGCGTGCATCTCTTGGTGGCAGGCAGAGCCAGCCTCTCTGTGACACGGAGCAGGACATGCCTGGCTCTTTCAGGAGCTGCGGGACCTTCCCTTCTTCCAGCTGTGTCTCCGATCTCCCCGAATGCGAGCATCAGAAGAGACACTGGGGGACTTGGGCAGTGTCTAACACTTGCTATGCGGGATGTTGAAGCACAGAGATTGTATGTCGAGGGACAGGAGAAAGAAATCATGGAAGCTGCCTGGGCAGGATTGGACTGTAGGATGCTGGAAAACAGCCACCAGACAAGGCTAACGCACTGGCTTCAGCAGGTGCACCCTCCCGCTGCGGTCCAAGAGGAACCCAGGGCCCTGGCAGGCCCCACTACATTTGCCTCCAGCAAAGACCACAGGAGAGCCAGGAGCAGACTGCTAGACTCCTAAGTCCTTGCACTGCTGTGGTCTTGGCGGGCAGCTTTGGCCGAAAGAGAAGGATTTGTGAGACCAAGCATATGTGAAGATCTCACCATTTCAGCTCCGGTGGCTGCCTCAGCTGTACAACCAAAGGGCACACCTGCCTGCTCATGTTTTGGCTTTCATTGCATTTTATTCTTTCGCAGTTCCTCTCCTGACCTCTTTCCCTCCTCTAGTAAAACAAAGGGAGCTGCGCAGTCCAGGACAGACAGCGGAGGGCCTGAGGCCTCTGCCCCTCGGCTGGGTGCCTCCTTGTGGTCACACAGGCTGTTGGTCACGCAGAAAGACTAAAACGTGGGTGGCGTTGCAGTCTTGTGGGCTGTTTCTTCTATTACTCCACAGCTACCTTCCACCAGTTCATCTGAAGTACAATGGATAATTAATTATGTGTTAATCACCCTTCCCTCCTGATATCCCCCATTAGGCGAGGTGAAAGATGAACCTGCCAGTAAAGCATCTCTTTTTTTTTTTTTTTTTTTTC